TTGACAAATGTTGAAAGTGGACTATAATAAGCCTAAGGGGATTACCCCTAGGGGGTAATCTGTGACTGTAGGAAACGGTCACGGTAGTATCTACTTTGTGAAATAATATTGATTTGGACTTTGTATTTTTATTGTATCTGCGTGAACATCACTTAATTAAGCTTAACCATAAATTAAACTTGGTTTCAATTTTTTTTAATTTCTTTAAATTAAACTAGAAGTTAGTATTGTGCCTGGTTGGTCATTTTAAAGATCGGTCTGTACTAGTTCATTTTGGACAGTGAAGTAGTTTGTTCTATCAGCTCTATTCGGTCATCAGTACCACTAACCAGTTTAAACTGTATCTGTATGGTATGCTTATTTTTTGTTCTCTATATCTCTACGACTTCCCAATATTTTGAAGTTCTAACAACTTTAATTTAATGAATGTCCACAAAGTAACGCCTAATTCTATTAATTAATACCCAATATTTTGTTTCGCACTTTATCTTAAAATGTTTTTAACCTCTGGCAGTAGACTAAAGTTTTTGTGTGAAAACATTGCGTGTGAAATAAATCGTGCATAGCGATCGGACTTTATCGTGCCGTTACACAATTCGCGGTTTATTGAGGTACTAGCTGTGCCCGCGGCGTAGCTCGCGTATACAGGTTTTACATAAAGAATTTGTCGTTTAGGTAAGAGAATATTAAACGATTTATTTCATTACTGTATCAATAAGTGGTAACTAAATAAATCATTATCATCAAAGTTCTAAGTCGTTTATGATAGAGCTTCTGTGTAAACGACGTTAGAAGTAGGCTTAGCCGGGGTGTACACAAAAAGGTTACGGGGGCTACTAACGTGGAAAAAAGCAACATAGAGTTGGCCGTGTGCAAAACAGTCAGTACTGAGGTACACTCCTACAACACGTAAAGTTTGACCTTGCGCTTTATTTAAGGTCATCGCATAACACACGCTCACTGTAACTGGGAACTGAACGCGCTTAAAACTGAAAGGAAAGTTACTTCTTAATAGAGGGTTTTTGGGCAGTGCTGCCAGATAAAAAAACTCATTCAGCTCTAGGGCAACACTAAAAGCGCTAGATTTCATGAAAACAGCGCTTTAAAAAAGCCCTAGATTTCGCGCTAAATTAACTACAAACAAAGTTTGTGTTTTTTTATATAATCATAATAAAGAAAACAACATTAAGTTTTTTTTCTGGCAATATTTTTTTGATGTAATAATACTTCGCAGGACATCGACTTATAATTATGGCAATTGCTGTCAACAGTAGTTAGTACTGTACGAACAATAAAAATGTCATTAATTGTTTTAACGTGCAATGTATTTCGCAACTTAGTTTCAGATGTCAGCATCTGATTGCGGTTGCTACACAGTTTCTTTGTGTTATAACTTCTAAGTAACTTTTAACTTAGCTGTGCTCTAAGCAACTGACTGAAACTGAATAAAGCAAAATAAATGCGTTGCCAAAACCATGAACGAAAACTTTAATAAAGGGGATTTCCCCGCTTATAGTCGTCGGTAAAAAAATCAAGTTGATCATCCTAAAGGGGAAGCCAGGAGATCCATAGCACAGGGTATCCTAGTTTGGACTCGTCTCCCATGCTCTTTGTTTTGTGGAAAAAATATGTTTGAAAAAGAGAAACTGTAATGTACTATTTGTGGGAAAAAATAATAAAGGTCATTATTATTATTATCGGTAATGTGGACTAACAGTGCTGCTATAAAAGAGTTAATAACCCGCTAGTCGCTAAAATATTGAAATGTGTGCTAAATACTCCAAAAAGCGCTGGATTAAGCTAGGTGCTAAAATTTCGAAATGCGCGCTATACATTCCAAAAAAGTGCTAAATCTAGTTCCCAAAGCGCTTAAATGGCAGTACTGATTTTACGTATATTATAAATACAATATCACGACATTTCGTTGCAAAATTTTTATTTTTGGTCGGGTTCCGTTGTATGGCTTCGATGGATACAAATTTCTTCAGTAAGTCTCAATACGATTCATCGGCGAAAAATCTCAACACAGCAATTCAGAAAAGTTTGTAATTTGTACAACTGCATCTATTACGTCCTTTGTGTGAGAAAACATCCTTTTTAAATCTCTTTTTGTGTTTTAAGTACATACATAATATATACATAAACACTCACGCCTGTCACCCAGAGGGGTAGGCAGAGATTATGGACTTCCATTTGGCACGATCCTGACACACCTCTCTCGCTTCCTCCACATCCATATACCTACGCATACACGTTCGTCGGTTAAAGGTACTCTTGATTTGGCCCATTTTTAATATATCGCCAATTTGGTCGATAAACTTTCGCCTAGGGCGACCCTTCCCGACTATGCCGTTCACCTCTGCAACATAAATTTGCTTTGTCACTCTTTCCTCATTCATTCTTTCTACATGGCCAAACCACCGAAGGATTCCTTTCTTAATCCTGGTCACAACATCATCTTGCAAACCACACTCTTCTCTTATTAAACAATTTCTCACTCTGTCATTCAGCTTCATCCCTAACATACTCCTTAATGGCCGCATTTCTACAGCATTTATTCTACTCTCATGCTTCTTCTGCCACACCCAACTTTCACTACCATACATTAAAGTAGGTACTAACACAGCATTGTGAATTGCTATACGTGCCTTTTTGGACACATTCTGACTTTTCACAATAGAGTGTAGAGCCCCCACTCTATTTCCTGCATTCACTCGTCGTTCTATATCCTTATCATATCTATCATCCCTGCTAAACACACATCCCAAATATACAAACTCATCTACTTGCTCTACCAACTCCCCTTCTATTCTTATTTCACATATCGTTTTACTTTCTTCTCTTTCAAAAACCATAACTTTCGTCTTACTTGCGTTCACTTTCATTCCCTTTTCTTTTAATGTCCTGTTCATTAATGTAACCATCATTTGCAACTCGGCTGCCGACGACGCAAGTATGACTTGATCATCGGCGTACAAAAGGCATTTGACGGTTAACTCACCCAATCTTAACCCGCATTCTTCTACTTTCAAATTTTTCAAACAACTGTCCATAAATAGGTTGAACAACCACGGGGAAGCCACACAGCCCTGTCTGACACCTTTATGGATGTCAAACCAGTCCGAGTAGGCCCCGTTGATCCTGACACAAGCACTAGAGTCCCTATATAGAGACTTCAATGCCTGTATCAGACCAGCGCTCAACCCAAATGATTCAGTGTTTGCCATAACACATCCCTGTCCACTCTGTCATAAGCCTTCTCCAAGTCCATGAACGCACAAAAAACTTTTTGGTTTTTGGCCAAAAACTTCTCGACGATCATGCGCATGGAAAAGACTTGATCCGTACATCCCATTCCCTTTCTAAATCCCGCTTGCACATCCCAAATTTTTCCGTCAGTTTCTTTCATAACTCTTTCAATTAGTACCTTAGCATACAGTTTTCCCACAATGCTAAGAAGGCTGATACCACGGTAGTTTTTACAGTCCTGCTGTGATCCTTTTCCCTTATATATTGGGACTATCACGGCTTTGCACCAGTCTCCCGGTACCCGATTAAGTTCCCAACATAAATTAAACAAGGTGTACAGCAGGTCTGCCACCAATCCTTCTCCAGCCCTTAGCATTTCGAGAGATACTCTATCATAACCGGCTGCCTTACCTGCTTTCATATTTTTCATTGCTTTCATTATTTCATCTATACTTATATCTCTATCTATTTCCTCTTCTTTCGGAATTTCTATTTCATTTAATTCAAACGTCTCATCACTCATAAACACGCTTTCAAAGTATTCCTTCCATCTCCTTAAACTCAAAACTTCGTCATTCAGAATACAGCCATTCTGGTCTCGTATAGCATTCATTCTAGGCTGTTGTGAATGTCTCCTGGTAGTTCTTACGAGTTTTAAGTATAAATATATTAATTATTATGGAACGTTTTTTTTACACACAAATCTTTTTATTACTATTTCTGAGATTTTATGGCGCCATTGAACAAATTCGAACCTACATTTCAAAATAATAATCATTACTTTCGATAGAATTAACCAATTTTAATAAAACAAAGATTAAATGTAAGGTCAAGGTAAGGGCTAATGCGTCACGATACTTTAAGCGGCATTTTTAACTGATCATATTAATTTAGTTGTATAATTTAAAACAATGTGAATTAAAACATATAACACATTATTTAATAAAATTTTATATTTAAATATTATTTCGTGATATTTTTAAAACCCTTGCTTGAAAACACCTATTCTTTACAAGTTGAGATTTTTAGACGCAAAAGCCCCAGGTGGGGCAAAGGCGTCTTAGCAAGTACCACATAATAGGAAGCCTTCGTAACACAATTAATCGAAAAAATATATTAGATCGCTCATGATATAGCTAGTTATCATTTTATAAGCGATATTCTTGGCTTGGTCTCTCCTATTAAGTCGAACAAAAAAATTTGGGGCTATGGCGTCTAATTTATACTTTAAGTGGTAGACGCATTCGCCCCATCCTAAATTCCAGAGGTATCAAACGATTTTTTTCTCATTACTTGTGAGAAAAAAAGTTGCCATTGACATAATTTGCAAACAAGTTCCACTTTTATACACCTAGCATTTATAAATAGAAAAAAAAAATCAAACACATTGAAATTAGGTAAATAGTGTATAATAAAAATACGAGTTCTAATAGAAAATAAAAAAGCGAATACAAAAAAAGTATGAGATGTTTTATTTAGTTAATACTGTCATCATTACTAAATTCTTAATAATCAGTTTTTTAAATAGTGTAATCTTACATACCTATTGTATATTGAATGTTGTATGTAAAAATTTGACTTTAATTGTGTAACATTCGCTAGGTGTGAAGTACCTTAACAAACATTATTATTAATTAATATTAGTTTCATTATCATTGTTATCACAATAATCAGGTAATGAGATCACATGCAATTTTATAGATATTGTCACTCTCACTCAGGTCTTCTTAATTACTAAATTAATTTGACAATCACTGAATGTTATACATTTTAAAATTTTCTTTGAAAGTAATATGCCCTCTTCGAGATATATCAGGCTTTTCAAGGAACATTATGATATCATCATCATTCTTTACTTCTGATATCTCAGTTTCAAGGTACTCCCCTTGTTGCCTCAGCCAGTATCGGAATCCTCGGCGTCGACATATCGAGTAGCGTGCAGTTTCGTGGTCACTTGGAAGAGAAGGCCAAATTGGCCTCTAAAAAGCTTGGCGTGCTCAGTAGAGCGGGACAGTATTTCATGCCGGCTCAACGCCTGCAACTTTACAAGGCGCAGGTTCGGCCTCACATGGAATACTGTTCCCATCTCTGGGAACAGTATTCCATGTGGCTGGGGCTCCCCAGTGCCAGCTTCTTCCACTTGACCGCATCCAGCGCAGAGCGGCTCGAATTGTCGACGACCGAGTTCTTTCCGATCGGCTCGACTCATTGGCACTGCGAAGAGATGTTGCATCTCTTAGAATTTTCTTTCGCATTTACCATGGGGAGTGCTCTGAGGAATTGTTCGGATTAAGTTCGCGGCAGAACTCCCGATACCATCCACACCATCTGGATGATTGGCGGTCCACCACTGTGCGATTTAGAAGATGTTTTCTTCCTCGCACAACTTCCTTGTGGAATAGTTTACCACCAGCGATTTTTCCGGACCGATACGACTTAGGGACCTTCAAGAAAAGAGCCTACTCCTTTTTAAAAGGCCGGCAACGCATCTGCAATTCCCCTGGTGTTGCGGTTGTTCATGGGCGGCGGTAGTCACTTACCACCAGGTGAGCCGCATGCTCGTATGCCCCCTCTCCTATAAAAAAAAAAAATATATCCTCCACGTCTGGATAATGAAAGGAAACAAATTTACTATTTTTTATTTTTCTTAAAAATTTGACGTTAGGAATGTTATTGTCATTAATAGAAATGATGGTCCCCACAAAATACTTCACAGACTTTTTTGTTGTGAATCTTACTAGTATCCAATCACTAACTTCTAGGTTCTTTTTGTTTAAATACGGTTCAAATTGTTCAATATTTGTAGTGTCTACATCATTATTTACGTAAGATTTGTCATTTTCTTTTTCTTCTGTTGTGGCTTGCAACTAATCTTCGAGAAAGTTATCATCACTTTTTATTTCCGCTAAAAAGTTTTCACGATAGGTATCAAAATCTTCATCAGAAAGTTCAGCAGAACCGGAAACTTCAGCAAAACTAATATCTAATTCACTTTCAGATTCTTCGTCATAATCAAAACACTTCTTTTGTTTCTTAGCTTTCTTTTTAACATTTTTATTAGGTTTTTGCTTAGATAAGCTCTTACTACAAGGTTTTTTTTTAATATCTTTGCTTTCATCAGTCTCATCTTGTTGTTGTAATTTTATACAATTTCTTTTTCGATTTTGGTCCAATTTTTTTTTTATATTTTTTGTTTTGGGGATTTTTATGGCAGTTCTTTCCTTTTCTTGCTTTATTTTTTCTTCGTATCGTTTTTTGTCTATAAACTGTTCTCGCGTTATTATTTCACACCCCCTAGCAATTTTAGTTTTTTTCAATTTTATTGTCGAGTCACTTTTCTTTATTGTCTGCAATAATAAAGTTTCGAAAGAAACTCTTTCCGAGGGAGCCAAAATTCTATCTTCAATAATTCTAATTACCTTTGAATCATTAGACTTATCAAATTTCATCTCCTGGTTTGGCAAAACTAATTTTGATGACGCTGCTATGGGATTTTTGCTAATGCTCAACTCTTGGGTAACGGCCGCCAAACTTAACTTTTTTAATGTCTGAATCTGTTTTGGTATCGTTTTATGTTCCCTGAACCTTTTCAATGATTCTGGATCAAATTTTTCGTCTGCAACTACGTTTCTGTCAAATGGATATATGCCCCCTTTTTTAAAGCCATTTCTAATTATTTTTGTGTCTAATTCACGCCACACTTCTCCGAGAAGGCGACTAAACTCATCTTTTGGCAATTTATTGCCCACATTTAGCCGTTGCCAATGCACAAGTTTTGCATCCCAAGTGTTTTTCATTGATTTAAAAACTGATAAATCTAATGGCTGCAGAAGATGGCTTGCATGTGATGGTAATTTTATAATAGTTACGCCTCGTTTTTGTGCTTCTTCTAAAATTTTAAGTTGGATATGGGTAGAAAGGCCATCACATATTAATAAAGCGGGTGGATCTTCACTTAAACGTGGTAGCACTGTGTTCAACATGTACTTTTCAAATACTTTTGTATCGATCCATCCATTTTTAGTGGCAGCATAGGATGTGTTTTCAAATCCTTTATCTGAGAGCCATTGGTCCCACGTATTTTTTCCTCTGTGTATAATCAACGGTGGTAATTTGTCACCGATTGCGTTGACTGTGAACAAAATTGTGACATTATCTTTTCCAGATGACGCGATTGTGCGTGTACTGGCACATCCACGGGCTCCAACCACTTTTGTTCGTTCGGGATCTTTTCCAAAACTTGACTCGTCAAGGTTCCAAATTTTATCAGGTCTTCCTTTTAAATTAAGTTCACTCAAAACTCCATCAAGAGTATCAAAATACTCATTAACAATAAAAGGGTCACATGTCACTTTTCTTGACATTTCCACCGCCTGAGGTCTTTTTAAGGACAAATTGTGCCTCTTCTTGAAGGCAGCAAACCAATCATAACCGGGTCTGTTGTTTTTGAATGGTGTTTTGTAGTTATTTTCACTCACGTGTACGGCAACTAAATCTAGCGTTTCTTTGGAAGTGAGTCCGAACCCATATTTTTCCATAACCCGTAAACCATTTGCAAGTTTGAGCTCATTTTCTCTGTCAATCACTGTAGGTGGTCCTCGGCTCTCCTTTACGATACCTTTTTTGTTATTTACTCTATCACATATAGTCATACGAGGAATGTTATACTTTTTTGCAGCTTGGTACGAATTTATTTTGTCAGTTTTGACTTCATCTACTGCTTTCTTTAAGGTTTCAAGATCGTAAGTTGGTGTTGTTTTTCTTTTATATGAACGAACCATTTTAAAAAATCTAAAAGAAAAATTTAGGTTTAATTACAAAGACCATCTAGAAAAATGTGTCAAATAAACAGTGAAATTACCCAAAAAATAACTTCAAATATTACAAACAATATATTTTGTTTGTAATATTTAAAGTAATTCCGTTTCACTCGCGAGAAACCACCTACTTGTTCCAAAGTCTGTTAAAAGCCTATTATGTATTTATTAATCCAGGGTCTAATCTATCTCCATACCAAATTTCATCAAAATCTGTTCTTTCGTTTAGGCGTGAAAGAGTAACAAACATGCATATATTCATCCATCCATATATAAGTAGGGTATAACTATATTTAAAAAAATGATTTTAGTGTATATGTATTTAGATCAATTATTGCATTATTGTTATCTTAAAATAAAAAGGTTTAGGACCTCATACAATGGGGCTATTGCGTTACAATAGACGCAATCACCCCAATAAGGCAGACGCGATAGCCCCGATAAAGAAACATAACCTAAAATATTTTAACTGCACGTGCACAATTAATCTTTAGGCCTTTACTAAAAATAATTAAAACAAACCGTAAAACATTTTAGAATGAAAGGTACTTACAGGTAAAAAACACCGATATTCTAGAAAACACTGAGATTTAAGGGGATTCAATAACCACATATCACTAACGCGAGCTTCGAAGTGAAGTGACATATTCAAGATGGCGAAAATTTAAACAAAAATGAGGCCAGTATCGACATCTACTAATTAAATATTTTAGTCTGGTGCTAAATATGTTTAAAAGATGGCGTGAGTAGTTCTTAAATTCGTATTTCATATGATATTTGAATGTGACGCCTTAACCCCTAAGACGCCTTAGCCCCGGTTGACCTTAACTCGAAGATACGCTTTATGATTTTCTTAACGATTTCTTTGAAAATAAAAGATGTTTACTTTAGACGTGATGCGTTCATATAATAACAGACAAATAGACAGACAGATAATTCTAAAAATTATAAAATGTTCTTATTCAATTATTTTCAGTTCCCCATAATGATTTTAGCCACCAAAATATCTATACAATGTACAGAAAGAGACACAACATGTTATCATCATTTTTATTATATGTATATATTTAAAGAGAGATGGCGCTGCTAACATCAATTCTAAAAATAAAACAGATTAATTGACGCGATTGATACATTATATAAAACGCAAGAGAACTTATAAATCAGTGCCTTATGCAGGCAAGCAAAAAATAAAGTTTGACTCTCGCCAAAACCAACGCAATTGTTAATAGCTCTTTTAAAATTTGATTTACCACATAGAGTACTCGGCGGTAAAGAATAAATTGAGTTTGTCAACACGCAGTAGAGCAGCGAGTAATATAATAAAGATTAGCAGTAAATATGAAAACTCATCTACAGAAAAAAACCACATTGCAATTGCATTACATTTTCACAACACCACCATCTATCGAAGAAATGGGTTAACTATTGTGCTTCAGATTTAGTTAATAAGGTTAATATATTTTTGTATAATATATTTAATACGTCCTTTAATACTTTTGTTTACTGCGTTTTAGATATACATAATTATATCATTATTTTACATAATTTAACTATGACTTATGATATGATATTAGTTTAAAATGCACTTGATGACTCAAACAAAGCCACCGTTGAGCAAATTCGTACCTATACTTCCCTACCCATACTTCAGAATATTTATCATAACTTTTGATGGAATGAACTGATTTTAATGAAATAAAGACTAAATGTAACCCGAAGATACACTTTATAATTTCCTTAACAATTCTTGTGATATAAATTAGTACTTTATACGTGCTACGTTAACAAACAAACAGACAGACAGACAGACAGACAGAAAATTCTAAAAATGGTAGAAATGTATTTAATTACTTATTTTTAGTACCCCTCAATCACTTTTATTACAAAAATATAAAATGTACAGACATCTGCTATTTACAGTTTTATTATATGTATAGATATAGATGACTGGTGAAATGAGGGCTAATAATCTTCCACTCACCAGATGACGCTAGTTGTGACTGAGGTAGTTTTTTGTTACACAATTTCAGTTAATTGAGGAATTCCTTTAAAATAATAGTTTATCTGAGACTGAGAGATCAATCGACGGATTCAACACATCTTCTCGTCAGTCGTACCTCAAAACAAGACTGTTCAACCAGTGCGTGTTGCAGTGATACCTATGGATCTGAGACGTGGTCCTTCACTGCTGGCCGTATGAGCAAGTTCAAGATCGCTCAGTGAGCTATGGAGAGGGCTATGTTCGGGATTTATCTGTGTGATAGACTTAAAAATGAAGATATCCGCAGTAGACCAGAGCAACCGACATAGCCCAACGGATTAGTAAGCTGAAGTGGCAATGGGCCGGCCATATAGCTCGAAGAACCGAGAATCGATGAGGAAGAAAGGTTCTCGAGTGGCAGCCTCGTACCGGCACGCGAAGTGTAGGGCGTCCCCCTACTAGATGGAGTGACGACCTGGTAAGACATGCAAGAAGTCGATGGATGCAGGTGACTCAGGACCGTGCTGTGTGGCATTCCCTGGGGGAGGCCTATGTTCAGCAGTGGACTTGTGAAGGGCTGTAATGAATGAATATCGTCCCCGCTATGAAATCTGTCCAATATTTTACCTCACTGTAAAGAGGCGTCGCCCTGGTGGCAGATAAAGTCGTGGATGCCCTCATTGTAGTGTAATGTTTAATTGTTATTTTTAGAGAATTAACACAAAATAAACATAAAATTAGTAAAACATTTTTATTTCTACAAAACATGATATGCCTTAACTATATTATTACATATCTTATGAAAAAATATATAACAGTGTTAACCGTTATTATGCTACATTTCAATGTATATGTATATTAAGAGCTGTATTACATGATTAATTCAAGGAGAATATAATTATTACGTTGATTCCCTGTCTAGAAATTTGGTAATACCGGCGATGGCGCTGGTTGTATAAAATGAAAGATACCACGTCGATTTCATTTAATTATGTTAATTTTTTTTATCCGCATAACACATTAACTTAGTCTAAATGCGCAAGGAAGTTAAACATGACGTAACATTTATTTCTGGTAAAATACACTAGTATTTTCATCGGTAACATGAAAATATTTTTTGAAGAGAGTACTTCTACAGAATCGTTGTGATTTAAAATGGATGAAACGAAAAAGCGACACTAAAAAGAGACAAATATATCACACATCTATAGGATTTAGCCTGCGAGAGAATGAGACGAATGCAGAGTATCAGAAGTAGGATAATTGTAGGGTTTATTTATTATACAATGATTGTTACCAAGTTACATTAGATATTAAAGTCCCAAGTTTTCAATTCAACAAATAACACGAGGAGCTTATGGTAACTAAAGAAGTATGAATGTGATTTTAATGAAATTTTAAAGTTTTAATGAACATAATTTTAAAGTTTAAGCACACATGTTTTTTTGATTTTAACAGTTTCTAGGTTATGTGTAAATACAATGAAATTACATAGTACTCGATTTAATTTAATATCATTAATTGAAACAAAGAGCCCGAAAGTTTGGCTGTAACAATTATTTAAAAATTGCTTATAATAAAGAGAACTGAAAGAGTTAAAACTGTTAAAAACTTTGTTTCTTAGAATGGTCTAAATTGCAAAATCCCACAATAAATGTAATACGACTCTTAATGAATTATTGTGTAACAAAATATACTTTGTCATGTTCTACCTCTTAGTTATTTATTTCACAGATCTATAAAGGCTACATTAAAACAGTTATTCCCATTATTATGTAAATATTTGAGATAATCTTAAGAAGGGATAATCTTCAATGGACGCTTATAATTAAAAATTTTATAACTAAATCTATTTTAACAATATAGGACTAGAAGAACAATATTATTTTTTTATTTTAATTTTATTGTTATTTTTCTTACTTTAAGCAAATTAAGGACGAAGGCTGTACTCCAAGCTCATATTTGACTCTAAGGTAAAGAAATAGTAATTATTATGAATATAGTAAAACACTATAAAATATCATTAATTTTAGTGCAATAACGGTTGTTACCCTGACCATAAGGTTTTTTTTTCAAAATCTAATAATTGTAAATAAGAAATATGGACAATACTTTAACCACTACATTTTGTGAGGTAGAGGGGATGAAACGATTAATAAAAATATATGTTTCTTGATTTAAAAAAAAACTCTGTCCACAAAAATAGTAGATCATAACTAACTTTAATTTTAAAACGTTGTTCTATTGTCAATTTCAAACATTACAAATTATGTAGTTATACAAATTATGTAGTTATAAAAAATTACAAAAATGTTGTTACATTTATTTAAATTCATGCGCATAATATTTACTAACACATTTTTATACTTCAATACTGGTTCGCAAATATATAATATATATATGTAAATATATAGTACCACGACGCTGTAATGAAGAAGGTTGCCCATACATTTTTATTACACACTATAAGTAAATATTCATAGTTTCGTACTGGTTAAGCGTGACTGTGGGGGGTTAAATTTAGGGATGCGGAAAGTGTAAAAAGAAGAAATAGCTTTTTCAAAGTTGTGCTGTGTTGTGCATTATAGATATAATTTAAAACCCACGGTTTAATATAACGATATTTTACCAAATAATAAATCTGTAGTGTGATACCAGTTTCTTGTGTTGTGTGTAACGCAAGCTTTTGCGGAAAAGTAAATAGTCATTTAGAGACAATGCAAAGAACTTTTTTATGAAAACTAGTCCAATAATTTGGAAATAAAGTTATTAAAATGTCAACATGTGTAACATTTATATTATTAATAATGATTGCTTCATCTTATAGCATTCTTGAAAAAAAAAATGATTTTAAACTAATTTCCCGATAAACTAGAAACTTGAAACTTTGAATATAGCTCAACTTTCGATAACAATTCAAATATATGATAAAAAACGTGGTATATTAAAAAATACAAAATTAAAAAAATCACGTGTTTAT